AAGATGTAAAAACCTTTACATATTTGGGCAGCATCATTGATGAACAGGGTGGATCTGATGCAGATGTGAAGGCGCGGATCGGCAAAGCAAGAGCAGCATATTTACAACTGAGGAACATCTGGAACTCAAAGCAACTGTCAACCAACACCAAGGTCAGGATTTTCAATACAAATGTCAAGACAGTTCTACTGTATGGGGCAGAAACCTGGAGAACTACGAAAACCATCATCCAGAAAATACAAGTGTTTATTGACAGCTTTCTATGCAAAATACTTCGGATCCGTTGGTCAGACACTATCAGCAACAACGTGCTCTGGGAGAGAACAAACCAGATCCCAGCGGAGAAAAAAATCAGGAAGAAGTTTCGAAAGTTGGTAAGACACACACTGAGGGAAGTACCCAACTGCGTCACAAGACAAGCCCTCACTTGGAATCCTCAAGGTCAAAGGAAAAGAGGAAGACCAAAGAACACATTACGCCGAGAAATAGAAACGGACATGAAAAAAATGAACAAGAATTGGATGGAACTAGAAAAGAAGGCCCAGGACAGAGTGGGTTGGAGAATGCTGGTCTGCGGCCTATGCTCCATTAGGAGTAACAGGCCTAAGTAAGTAAGTAAACTCATGCAAGTTAAAGTCACCATTTATCAAGTCAAAAATAGACCTCAATCAGAGTTTCAAGTGAAAATGAGCTTCAAAACTATTTAAGTTTGATTCACCTTTTTAATTATGTTGGTGATAAACATGGATGTCGGTGTTTGTTTATAAAATGTAGGTTGAAGTAATTAAGCATCAAACTATTTTTGAACATTATATTCGTTGCTAATTTACAGCCATAAATAGTTCTGTCAGTTATAATTATCATCGTTTTTGAGTGGACTGATATATTATAATGCAACGTATCTGAAAAAAAATTATATGGGTTACAATTGACGCTGATAGCCTTTTCTGCCCGCTTTACTAACATATATAGAAACTGTGTACAAAATTACTGTCAGTGCCACATTAATTGGTCGCATATTCTTCATAAGTAAAGCGATGCGTGTTTGTTTCAAGCGTGGTAACTAAACTGTGTCGTAGGTAATACTAATTTATGACGTGTCTGTTAAAGCGTTAACGAATGAATTTCTGTAAACAGAATCCACAATCACTGACCAAATTATAAAAAAGTTCTAATGCATGTTGATGAGTGATATCTAAATAGCGCTTACCAATGATGTCAGTATTGTATGTGAACAGTGAATTGATAATAGTATTATGAACGTTGTAATTGGATTTTCCTCAGATTTCATATTTTCTTAATTGAAGTTTTTGAATCTGCTTGTTTGGTGCCTGAAGTTTGTTCGTTAAAACCAAATGACAGGATGAAATTTCACAAGGGTTAGGAAATGAAGTGCATTATTTACAACTTGTAAGATTTTTACAGGTACGTTCTATTAGTTACTATTTCATTTACTTAATGAATCCGATACTGATAACGAAGTTTAGTCGTTTATTTTACGATCGACTTGTTGACTTTTAGAATTGCATTAAGCTGAAAAGGTATTTACACGTTTTTTTATATGCAACTTATGACTTCCGTCAGATAATTAAAAGGCTCAAACCTTTCTAATAATCATGTCTATGCCGGTGAGTAAGTTAGTGAATTTCTGAATGCGGAATATTATGTGGAGAAACAGTTTAGAAGTTGATGATAACCATATTATACATTCACTCCTGCCACGTTCATTCATCTAATGAATTATATATATATATATATATATATATATATAACAACTATACTCAGTCTTTTGCCCTATAAATCTTGTTAGGAAGTTAAATTATAGTTCATTTCGGTACTAATACTACTTTGATAGTAGACATAATCCGAAACCGGTGAATGTTTCATAATGTGATTGCCTAATCTGTAAGATCTTACGTGGAAGCCACATCACAGACTCATCGTTTTTGTAGCAATTAACAATGGTACTTAATTATTCTGAAGAACACATGTAATTAATGTGAATAGTAATGAGTTACACATAATGACCATGTCTTCGAGGCTGAGCCATGCCATCCGATTGAATGAATGTCTCCAGGTTCACCATTGCCGACCTTCTCCAAGTGTTACATATCGAATATACATCTTTTCAGTCATTATATGCGTGGTTAGGAAACAGTGCCACTACAAGTATCCATCCGAATATACTGTCATAGTGAAGAAACGTGTATATACAACGCAACACTGGCGAAACTTCTAAACTGATGCTGTACTACAAGGTTTCGTAACGAAACGGGTATTTATAGGGCAAATACTTCTTTGTTTTTAATTTCCACAAACAGTTGCCCGTTAAAATAAATAAAAATCATGCAAGTTTATAGATGCATCATCACTACTGGTACAGGAAGAACAAATTTCGATGCAGTAAGACCAGTCTACAAGTTGGATATACAGTTAAATTAAAAATACTACTATAAAGAATTTCTTATTGTACACAGTTCCTGTCAGGTCGTCACACTTTGTTACATTCCGATCTATATTTTCTATCGCAAAGAAAACTCCACAACAACAAACGTTAGAGAAACTGCAGTCTTACCTACTTACTGATGATTCCTAAGTAAACATCGGCTTCGTCGAATCTGTACATACTGTTTGCGTCGTCTGGGTAGCGAAATTGTTATGTTATTATGGTAGATGTGAGTGTTATCTATCTTCCATCAATTGCAGTGTCTAAGAATATGATGAACTATATATATATATTTCGTAACTGATCGAGCTTACCTGAAAGAGTCCATCTTCTTGCGTATGTCAGTAGCATATGACGGCAAGGACACTGGCATGTTACAATTTATCTGCAATCCAGACTACATCTGCTCGCAGTTATTTTGCCTCCAGGCAAACAGAACAGGACGTCCGTGGCCAAAACTATCCCCAAACTTCACACCAATCAGAAAAAAGTTTCCCCAAAATGGGGAGATTGGGATATTACGAAGTAACAGTCGATTCAGCGTGTGAACTAAAAGACGGAGAGAGCTAAATTAATGTTCTTCGCAATGATTTTGTGGTTTTGCTGCAGCAAAAGACTACTTAAATATGAAAACACCTAGTATTCATACGACCAAACAGACAGCAAACAAACAGCAATTGAATACGTACTGACCGCTTATTGTGGGGCTGTCCAAGGTCGCTGAAACGAAACGGCGGGCGACTTTGAAAAGACATAACTTTTCTACCGTGCCATTGGATATGTGCTTTTAGTTTCGATCTTAAGACTGCAGTAATCCGAGGCTTGTGTTATTTCGAACTGTCGTTTACTGCTTTTGTTGATAAGCTCAAGTTCATCGTGTGCGCTTGCTGGGTTGTTGACTCACTTTTTCTTCGGTTCTCTTTTTCAGTCCCCTTCACTCACGCCAGTCCCATTTCTCCCTTAGTAAACAAAAATATCTTGTGACTAAGCACAGGTTGCCACTTCTCTGATGAGTATCAAACCATCTGTGGGTTGTGAGTGTTGTGTGGATTCTCTCGTGTCTCTTTGGAGCTTCGTATGTGGTTCTACTTTGTTTCTGTTCCTTCTTTACATTGATGTTTCCTCTTCGATAGTAAACTGTGTTTTTTAAGTCCCTTCTTCTTCAGAGTTGTTTGCTAGTCCCCGCATCGCTAATCGTTGTATCTAACGTAAGCAGATTTGTTAATGGCGTCCATCATGCCCTATTTATGGGAACTTTTGGCGCGCATACTTTCTAGGCTGTGTTTTCGGTCTTGGATCATTCTTCGCCTTTCAATCTGCCGTGAGGAAAATTCGAAGTGACTTTTGTACATTTGGATTTATCTTGACTTCCTTGCATTTTTCCACTGGTCCGAGTTTTATTTCACTTCCATTTACAACCTGAGTAATTGTTCACTCGACATATATGCTCACACATAGCTCCGAATATGTTCTAGCCCTTACCGCGAGTGTACTTGAGTACTGGCTAGAGAAATACTTCCTATACGACGTGTTTTCATCATACAGATGGAGTATTACTGTTATCAACTGTCTGGGGTCTGGGATGTGCATTTTCGGCGAAGTTTTACGTAAACTAGCTCTGCTCACAGCTGGGGGAAATTTCAATCATTATGTGCAGTTCACAAAAAATCGCAAACATCAGTTGGTAACAAGTGGAGTTTACTCGTGGTTTCGCCATCCGGCTTATGTTGGGTGGTTCTGTTGGTGCATTGGTACTCAGATTTTACTCATCAATCCCTTGTGTCTAGTCGCTTATACTATAATGACGTTTGTTTTTTTCAAAGGAAGAATATATGCTGAAGAAAAGGCACTAGTAGATTTTTTCGGAGAAAGTTATCGAAAGTATCAAAAATTGGTTTCTACTGGAATACCTTTCATACATGGATATGTATCTCACTAACTCATGTCGGTGATGAGGAAGTGTCATTTTATGTAAAAATTTTACAAAATAAACCTCTCCAACTGTAGACTTCCCTTTTTCTTAAACATCCTTGTGGATTAAATTAGTCCACGGTATTGGTAATCTAAATGTTGGTCAAAGTATCTAAACCTAAGTAGAACTTTTCACAATCCCATTATAATAGGATTAGTAGAACTGGTGTGATGAATCCAAGTTGAACTTACATTTAACCATAGAACTCGAATAATCTCTAAATGTTTGATCTTCTAAAGGGTTAGTAAACTACCATTGTCTAATTCATTAATGGACCTGTCCCTAGTGTTAATTCCATTCATTACCCCAAACTTTGTAAACATTTCTCGGTTTTAAATACTTATTTTGTAAGACAATCCAGTGGATTGTTAAAATACGTCTAGGTCCACACACATATATAACTCTCAAATGTTTTTATAGCATCCGACCTGAAAAACCAGCACATAATGTACGTTATAATTAATTTGTAGTCATTAGCATACCTGATACTTAACAATGTTTGCAATTGTTTGTTATTTCTACTCATTTTAGGCAGTAACACTCCATACAGACTTGGGAGATTTAAAAGTGGAGTTATTTTGTATGCAGGCACCCTTAGCTTCAGAGGTAAGGTTAACTATTATTTCAGTGTGTTAGTCTTTTTTTTGATAGTTTTTCTGTAGTACAACTTGGTGATCATGCTACTTAATTCAGCTGTCTACAGAAGTTTAGCTAGAAGAAGTATCCTACTGACCTGTTCACCAGCGAGCGTACCCTATATAATTGATACGTTTCTGAAGATAGGAGGGTCAGTAAACCGTGCTGTTTACTGGCCATTGAAAAATGACATTCAACCAGTTGGCACTTTGTTGATTCAAAGTTCGTCTCCCGAATCTCTACGCTATACTTTGCACAAAATCCCATCATTTCGCTGTGTACATTGTACTATAAATTCGGAGAGCAAAAAGAGTATGTTCAGGCTCCCAATGTTTCGCATCAACTCCGATCCATCGATTTGGCCAGTTGAGAATGTCTCAAAATATTCTTCTTATCAGTATCCTGGGAAATTATGTGTAAAAGCAAATCTTTCTATCCGTCCATCTGTCCCGTCTTCGAAAGAACTGACCAGTATACTTATGTCCTGTCAATCATTTGATGATCAAGTTTCCACTTTTTATCACCTCACACGTTTAACTGAACTGGATATTTTGGCTAGATTTGTTCTAAGTGATAGTATTGAAGAAATCCTGGGTTTCATATTTCGTGGGACAAAAGTTTCAATATTTGGCTCTGTGTTAAATGGTTTAGGATCAGTTAGTTCAGATGTAGACCTTGTTGTTAAACTACCATTGAATTATGACAATTTACAGTATCTTCGTGATACCAACCCAAACTATTTGACATCGGATTTATATCGAACGAAAATAATATCTTTAGATCCAGATTGTTTAAAGAACAGATTCTTATCTTTTCTACAGATGATGTTAAAGAAATTGGATCCATTAGGATTTAAATACTCAAGAATATACACTGGTCGAGTTCCTATTATTCATTTGGATGAAATTCGTGTTCTTGAAGTTGGATTGGATATTTCATCGCTTACCAAATCTCCTTTGATGAATAATGGGGAATCAGAACATTGTGGGACTAAAATGGCTGAAATTCTTCATTTCCTAACATTATGTATCCCTGAAATTCCAAAGTCTGTAGCTCTCATAAAATATCTTGCTCGTGAATTGCGTATAACTCGTAATGGTCCAAGTCCTGGATTTACTAATTTCAAATTAATTTCACTCTTTATTAACTTTTTACAAGTTTCAAATTATGCACCTTCGTTTATTCGTCTACAATCTCTCATTAAAAATTCCATCACATTGGATAGTACAAGTGCTTTTTCTGCTCACACTCATTTCACCGATCTCAACCCATTTCCATCGATAGAAGACTTACTGAGTAACTTTTTAGTTTATGTATGCAGCATAAAACCATGTGACATAATCATTGACCTTCGTAATGGCTGTTTAACACCACGACTGGGATCTACTGGTACTGAGTATTCAGATCATGTGATACCTCATAGAAAACATTATGTACTCTGTCCAGACCCTACATATCCACAATGTAATATCTGGTCTGGTATCAATGAGGACCATTGGTCAAGTTTTGTGCAGATATGTCGTGCACTACAGGATACTTTAAAAATGCAGTGTAATAAAAATGAAAATTCTAAATGGGGTCTTCTTGCTTTGACTGATTTTGATGATTGTACCAAATTAAAATTTGTAAATGTTCCTGACTACTACCATCTGGTAGATCCTATTCAGTCTTAACATGTATACAAACAATTATCTTTTTAGTTTTAACAACATATTTTTTTTATAGAAAAATATTTATAAATAAGATTCTAGCTTGTACATACGTTCTTGTGTCCTTACGCGTTTTTTTTAAAATCTTTGTATATGTCTCTTCCCTAATTTGTAGAATTTTTTAGCATTGTGTGCTTCGGATTATTATAAAGGCTGCATATTTCATCGTAATATCAAAGGGTTTATAGTGCAAACTGGGGATCCTACTGGTAAGGTGAATAATGCATGTATAACTTTAACTCAATGTGCCTGTTTTTTAAGGAACTGGCAAAAATGGACAGAGTATTTGGAAAAAACGATTCAAAGATGAATTTCATGACTCATTAAGGGTAATTTGCAACAAAACAATCGTTGTTATGTTAACAATAGCATAATGCTCGAGGAATCATGTCAATGGCTAATAATGGTCCCGATTCTAATGGTTCCCAGTTTTTCATCACCTACAGTAAACAAACCATGTTAGATATGAAATATTCGATTTTCGGAAAGTGAGTGAATTTTGAAACAAGCTTCGATCCTACTTCTTTTTTACCATTAGCTACTGTTTAGTGATTGCTTGAATACAGGTGTTCCCTGTTCTAAAATCAACTGGTAATTTATGCCTGTGTTCCCAATTATCTAATAATTTAGAGTAAAGTACTACAATCATTAAAAATAAAAGATAAAGCTGTAATATAGGATAACTAGACTAAGGTTCCTCAATTAGTCATAATGGGCGTAGATTCTGTCACAAAGTATATGTTAGCCCAAGTTCTCATACCATATCGGCACAAGGTAAAACCAACAAGATGATAGTGAACAAGTCGATAGTAAGGAAAACTAAATATTGAAATTGTTGTTCGAAAATAATCTATGTATGGAGGAATATAGAAGCTCAAAATCTAAGTATGTGTGTGTAATCTGTACCACTGTCTGGTTTTGAGTTACATCACCCAAAGTCTCAAATCACTGGTCGTAATATGTCGTAAAACTCCTCATGTACCTATTCTTGGGTTGCTGCTGGTCCCAAGCCCGGGTAAAGGAGGGTTGAGCGCAAAGTCAGCAACCCCATACCGTAGAAAAAAATCCTGCTAAGAAAACGCTAACCAGATTAGACAAATTAAGTCATTTAAACTCTGCCCTGCCCCTAAATGCTCTGGTACGGCCAAGAGTGGGGGGGAGTCAGCTCTCCCTCTCGAAATGCTCACATCACCACACGTATACAGCCACTACCAGGGAAGTCCTACTCAATACCTTCTCACGGTGGGAGTGTCGTTTACGAAATTGAGAGGACGAAAAGCGAATGTCCGGCACTTTAACCGGGTTGGTCAATATGGAGGATCCACCTAGGGGATTTAGAAAACCCTGATTCCAAACCAATGGTGCACATGGGCTCCAGTATCCTGAGGGAACGAATGGCATATGGACCTGTTGTTGGTCACTAGTTACTATGGGACTGCATTCTCTTACGTTTCTCCACTGCCCTGTGGATTAGACCTTTAGGTCAAATGCTCGGGTGTGGCCTCCTAAGGAAACCACCTGTTTCGGTTTGGGCAACTGGGCAGTATCCCAGCCGTCACACAGACCGAATGATTTATGTGGCGCATATCTATTTAGTGCCTCCTTGTATCAATATTTGTGTTTAAATAAATAGAACTCTGCCTTGGGAGTTGAAGGAAGATTTATTACACCACAGGATAAAAATCGAGATTCTTCGGAAGTCACAAGGTTGATGCCTTTTCTAACAACCAGAGCAACAATTTTCATAGGTACATGGAAAGTTCGGACAATGCGGGAGATTGGGATGTCTAATCAAATAGCAACGGAAATGAAGAGATAACTTGACAGTATTCGGAATCAACTTAAACCCATTCGACCCAAGCTAGAAAGTAAAAGCTGGATACGGGAGAGATGCTGTACTCCAGTCAGTCAGTCAGTAACAACGTAGAACTTCGTACATACGTACATCAATTCAAGTTGCCATACCACATTAGCACAGAGATGCAGTGGTAGAGGTAATAAGAGTATAAGCAGTAATCAGGAAAATTAGCGTTTGGAGATGTTATTTAAAGAGTATAATACAGTGAAATAAATTTGGGAAGAGAAAAAAAAGAGACAAGGTAGAATAAGGAGACCAAAATTCGGGAGAACACAAAGAGTGTATGCACCTGCGCCATTGCAAACGATTTTGAGCCATGTCATTCAGGGTCTCTAACCATCGGTTGCTATCATCTCGCGGTCCCCAACCAGGTAGACTACACCTACCGACATGACTCAGTCCACTTGTCAGTGACTTCATGGACTTGTGCCATGTTTTGGTCTGGCCGCCCCTAGCTTTCTTCCAACCTACTCCTATACCACTGAACATAGCACGTCGAGGCAGTCGGTCGTTGGGCATACGTAACACGTGTTCCAGCCATCTCAACTGATGAAGTTTCACTACGTCATCAATTGATTTGCCATCATCAACTAGTACCCGTTTCCTAACAACTCCGGTCGCGAAGGGAAATGCTCCACACACTCAGGGAGTTGCCCTGGTGCTTCAACAATTAGGTCATATGTGGCACAATATTCCCACACAAACCCATACACAAAGCTACATGGGTCTCACCGGATCACACCACGGAGAACTAGGTAGATCACATTTGTATCAGTAAAAATTTCAGAGGGACAATGAAAGACGTGAGAAACAGGAGAGGAGCTGACATAGCTCCAGATCACCACCCGTTGGTTGCCAAGATGAAACTGAAGCTAAAGAAACACTGAACAACTGGGGAAACAGTAGTACAAAGGTTCAATACAGCCTTCCTGCGAGATACTAACAAACTCAACGAATTCAAGATAACTCTAAACAACAGGTTCCAAGCCTTACACTATCTACTGAAAGCACCGACGAACTGGAAAGAAGGACACCTCATCAAGATACCAAAGAAAGATCTCAGCAAGTGTAAGAACTACAGAGGGTTTACATTACTGTCAGTACCATGAAAAGTTTTCAACAGTGTTTCCGAACTGTACGAAAAATGCAGTGGACGCCCAACTTCGAGATCAACAGTCTGGATTCCGCAAGGACCGGTCGTGCCAGACGAAATTGAAACACTACGGATAATCGATGAACAATCAGTTGGATGAAACTCGTCACTATACATCAACTTCTTTGACTATGAGAAGGCATTTGACAGTGCGGACAGGAGAGCATTATGGAGCTTTCTTCGACACTATAGTGTACGTGAGAAAATCGTCAACATCATCTAGAATTCATAAAACGGAATACAGTGCAAAGTGTGGCATGAGGGACAGCTGACAGACGCATTACAAGTGATGACAGGTGTCAGACGAGATTGCTTACTCTCTTCCTTCCTCTTTCTTCTGGTGGTCGATTGGATTATGAAGACCTCGACATCTGGTGGGAAGCATGTAATACAACGAACAGGTTATTATTTATTTCAATAGTTGAGATCATGAGTCAATTGAAGATAGACAACCATGGAAAACTTGGAAGCACTGGACGACCGTTTCGTCCTATTGTGGGACTCCTCAGCAGTGCGCATCCACGACCCTGCTCGTGGGATTCGAACCTGGGACCTACAATCTCCACAAAAAGCCCTGGTATTATTTATTCATTTGAACACATAAATATCGGTACAAAGGGGCACCGAATTCATATGTGCTACACAAGTTACTTGATTTGTGGAAGAAAATGGACAGGTTGGATGCAACTAGGTGATTTGACCTAGAAGATGACCTCGCTCTTCTATCCTATACACACGAACAAATACAACTAGTGTAGCAGCAGTCTCTGCATCAATGGGCCTCAAAATACACAAAGGAAAAAGCAAGCTCCTCAAATACAATTCGGAAAACACCAATCCAATCACACTTGATGTAAAAGCCCTGTAAGATGTGGAATTTTTCACGAAGTTGGGAAGCATAATCGATGAAAGTGGAGGATCTGGTGTAGACGTAAAGGTGGGGATTGGCAAAGCAAGGGCCGCATTCCTACAATTCAAGAACATATGTAACTCAAAACAACTATCAGACAATGCAAGTCAGAATCTTCAATGCGAACGTCAAGACAGTTCCATTGTACGGAGCTGAAACATGGCGAACTGCTACAATCATCATCAAAAGAGTACAAGTATTTATAAACAGTTGTGCAAGCGAGATACTCAATGTCCGTTGGCCGGAAATCATCAGCAACTCCCTACTGTGAGAGAGGACAAACCAACCTCCAGCTGAAGAGGAAATTAGGGAAAGACGTTGGAAGTGGATAGGACATACATTACGGAAATCATCAAGCTGCATCACGAAGCAAGCGCTAACTTGGAATCTTGAAGAGAAAAGGGGAAGAGAAAGGTCGAGGAACACACTACGCCGGGAATCAGAAGCAGACATGGAAAGGATCAATAGCAACTGGAAAGGATTGCCCAAGACAGGGCAGCCTATGCTCCTACCCGAAGAGTAACAGGCGTAAGTAAATAATATGTCGTAAGTCTTGTTTCACAGTCATATTACAATACAGAGCGAATTGTCATCCAGTATACTCCTCCTTTGGTTAGCAAATAGGAATTTCTACGTGATAAAGTGGGCAAGAGCCAATCGAGTTTTCCGAATCCATGTCAAATGTGGAATTCAGTGCCAAAGAAAGTGAGTACAATCGGAATATCAAAACCAACCTTAGACAACTTCACGTAGATTTTCTTACTGTCATGAAACTTTGAAAAGCCTGTTGTTCGTTATTGCACTTTGATATGGCTGCTTTGATTCCATTTTCACATTGTTTATCATCCTACCGCGATGTATATGCAATACTTAATAGTCAATTTGATTTATATCCGTTAACCACTTTGCTAAAAGATCAGTCGGAAAAAATTATGGTAAAACCACTTATTATTGATCCAATAGTTCAAACATGTCTAGTATTAATACTGCTATCTAGTTGGATTGTTTGGTCCTCCTTAATGATAGAATTTAAAGTATTCATTTCTTTCTGTTTATGGCGCCATTGTGAAAGATTCTAAGATATGCCAAATAAGGTATGCATCTGTGTAATTCTAATATATCATATATATATTATGAACGAACTATCCTGTATTCTTTTTCACTATACTTAAGAAATTATCCTCTTTCATATTATTTACTTGTAATCCTGTATATCCTGGTGATCAATGCAAATCAGATTTAATTAAAGTGTTCTGATGCTCTAGTTAATTATTTAGCTGAAAAAATTCAGCATTTAAATAGCTGACTGGTTTCTAACATCATTATGTTTATTATTGTCCATGCATAGAAGTAATCAGTTACTTATTTTATGTTACACGTGACCAATGACTTGATGATTAAAGAAACGGAGCTTTCAAACAAAGTCACAAGTTCGAATTCCACCAAATGGTTTCGTCAACCTTCACAATTTATTCTAATATAAGTATTTTATTCATTTAAGTTCACTTTGTTTTCAATAACTTTTGGTTTATCAAGATCAAAGTTTGTTATAAAATGACCAAAGAAATTAGTTCAACTTCACTGTAAACTAAATATTAAATTAGTATTGAAAATAGTTCGATTCACATTCTGAAGTGACGTTATTTAAACATCTATTTCAAATCCAAAGCTGTAGCCTGTAGATTTATTTTATTTTTGTATTTAAACACAAATATTGATACAAGGAGGCACTAAATAGATATGCGCCACATAAATCATTCGGTCTGTGTGACGGCTGGGATACTGCCCAGTTGCCCAAACCGAAACAGGTGGTTTCCTTAGGAGGCCACACCCGAGCATTTGACCTAAAGGTCTAATCCACAGGGCAGTGGAGAAACGTAAGAGAATGCAGTCCCATAGTAACTAGTGACCAACAACAGGTCCATATGCCATTCGTTCCCTCAGGATACTGGAGCCCATGTGCACCATTGGTTTGGAATCAGGGTTTTCTAAATCCCCTAGGTGGATCCTCCATATTGACCAACCCGGTTAAAGTGCCGGACATTCGCTTTTCGTCCTCTCAATTTCGTAAACGACACTCCCACCGTGAGAAGGTATTGAGTAGGACTTCCCTGGTAGTGGCTGTATACGTGTGGTGATGTGAGCATTTCGAGAGGGAGAGCTGACTCCCCCCCACTCTTGGCCGTACCAGGGTATTTAGGGGCATAACCTGTAGAATCACCTGTCTTTTGATTGTCAAGTGCCTTTACTAGAGTCGTATGATGTTTAGAATATATCTTAAATTTATTGGACGAAAGTATTTAGTAAATTGTGTTTATGTGTTTCCTTGAAGTGTTATCTTTATATACATGCGAACAATCCTGTAATATTTTGTAATTAAATCCATTACTGTTATTGTTATTGTGTTTATTTATTGCTCAGAGTAATTGATGGGTGGGATGTTTTGGATGAATTAGAGCGTTCCCCTGTTGAAGAAAAAACTTATAAACCTTTAACAGATATTCATATACAAAATATAACAATCCATGCTAATCCATTTGCAGAATAATAGTGTATTGATGTTCATCTTGCAATTTTGTAAATATAATCTGATCAATTGTCAATATATATGTATTTTTCTACTATCACTTCTTTTTGTTATCACTAAATAAATGTGTATGTTGTTTCACACGGTAATTTTACAAGCAGTCTTCATTATCTGTTTAATTTCAACCTTTCAAGAACTAATGCTCTTCCCATAGATTTCGGTTTATTTATTTTATATGTAAATAGTACATCATCACCAGGTTTAAGATCCTAAAAATGTAGACGTCACCTTTGGAAGTTCGTTGAGACTGATCTCTCTTCAGTGCATGTCAGAGACTAACTTCAGTTGGACAACTATTTAAAACCAACTTACACAGAAAATCTGTTTCATCTTAGTATGAAATGCCGAGAAACCTAAAAGTCCTATGTTGTTCAGTTCACAGCGTCCGTTGCTGAGAGGAAACATACATACTAGAATAAGACAACTTTCTAGCGATTTTCAGTTCGCAACGTTGTCTAGACGGTAAATTCATAATGTTAACTATGGAATGTGTACATTCTAATTGAAAATCTTACAATATACACCATTCATCTATTGAATAAATGCAGAATTAGTCAGCATTTATATGGAACTTTACTCAATTAGTATAAAATCATTGAGATTGTTGACTATTTAGCACATGCTATGGTAATTTTATCTATCCTAGTGAAGTGACTAACAAAAGTCTTAATTCCACTTACTATCTCATATCACTCTTGGTTCTTTAAAATTGTCTTTTTAAAAATATTGAATTAGTATACAAAACACTACCATCCTAATATATATTTAAGAAATATAGTCTGAAAGGGTAGATGATGAGGTTCTTTCAAAGAACTGCTGTCATTTGCAACTATTAGAAGAGTATGGGGCGTTACGAATTTATTTAGTGTGAGTAGAAAATTAAATTGTAAACTCATGATTTTTAGGAGACATTTTAAGTTAACAGCACAAAGTTACATGGGTTTTTTCTGTATGAATAGTAGCATTGAAAATGATTAAAACGTTGGAAATTAATGACACTAAACCATTGTACAGATGTCATTTTCATCTGAATAAATTCACCCAAGGTTGGATAACGTCAGAAGACAGTTCATTTTGTGTAGTTGTATACATTTATGTGCTGTCTTGCTAATTGAACGCTATATTCGGTTCTCAAGCTATTCTCGTGACCCTCAAGCTAGAACTACACAGCGACCTGAACACAAGAAAGGCGCAAAATATGCGAGAAGCACTTTACTCCAAAGGTTCGTTTTAGTACAGAAAATATAGGGTTTTTATAGTATTTTAGATGTCCTTGGGTTTCCCGAAAATTCTGGAATGCCAATAAACATAGTAGCAGTATAGCAGTCAGCCAATCAGAAACTCTACATGTGAATTTTCATTTTCTTGGTGTTTCTGGCTAAACTTCTAGTGAATGCTGTTGGATAAAATGCTTCTTAGTGTTTCCTGAGCCTTACCTGGCTTCTGGGAGAAGTTTTCTGGATCATCCCAGCATTATGGTTCTACATTTTATGATCAGTATAGAGTAAAAATTTACATTTCAGATGATGAAATCAGTAACAAACGCTCAGCATTAAGCACAGACAAGGAAGGAATAGTGGATAGTTTCACATGCCGGGATAGATGTTAGTTGACCAATAGGACGTGTTTCGAGAAGATTATCCACCGTAACAGTAGCTACTCATAAGTAATATATTTAGATATCATTGCACAATTGAATTTATGAACCCCAACCTAGTTTGTAAATCGAAATTACCAAATAGGTGACAGCCGAAGAATTCTCAAGACAAGTAGTATATCACTCATTGCTGGCTTTCCAACTGAGAATCGATTGATTTTGTTTTATTATCCCATAATTTGAAAATTACTTTTCGTGCCGCTTGTATTTTCTGATTTTATAGTTCCTACATTTTATTTTAACCACTTTCATGGCCCCACTGGGCAGCGTCATCACACTCTCTACTTTAAATAGAGTCGAAAGTTTCACGAAATTCTTATGTCAATCTATTCTGATGATTCGGTTACTCACTGGTGTTTTACATTTGCATACAGGTCTCCATTGAATTTTCTATCAGAATAAGCTCTCGTCATGTAACTGATCGACCTGATCATTGTCAACCAGTAGATTGGATCTATTTAAATATTTTCAGGAAACATAGATAGACATGAATCCAGATGTGATAGGATCTCCGTAGCACTCTTGCATGTATGCATTTCTTCCAGACTAGTACAGTTTGTAAATAAACATATCTGACCTCCTTACGAAGTGAAGTAACTATATCCTTAGTGTTTTATTGTGTGCATGGTTAATGAATGTTGTAATTCCTATGCTTCATACTGTTGTAACCGATCTCCGACACATTGATGGCGCTTTTCTGCCTACATATTTAGTGTTTACTAATTAATTGATACTTAGTTCTTTGTCTTTATTCTTTCAGATACTATCATACTTCTAGTGATCAAACTCAAATCAGTGTTGATTATGTGATGATGTCTGTTGACTCTAAACCGTACCCATTCTCCAATGGTCTACATTTATTTGGACAATTGGTGATCGGACCTCCTGGTAGTGGGAAAACCACATACTGTGCTGCAATGCATGATTTTCTTGTAAAATTAGGTCAGTGTTATATCCACGATTCTTTTAGGTTGATGCAATCACTTTGGTATTTATTAATTTACATCAGTAATTGAATGATCAAGGTCCTGGGGCGGATGAGGTTGTGAAAGTGCACTGATGAGGAGTAACCGCATACTAGGAGGAAACTTTCACCCACTGTTTCTTTGGTTTTCAATGGATTTCCATCTGAAGTTATTTTGTGGTGTAATCTATTAACCTCCTCCAGTGCTTCCAACAATTTCTCACTTTTTAACATACCGTTTGTTTATATGCTCTTCAAACTCAATATTCTTTTAAGTGCTGTATTACCAGAATTTTGAATTAATAAATCGCTAGCTTGAATTCTGTCTTACTCCCTGATTTGTCAGCAATATGTGTACGGAACTATCAGCCACCATCCCCAAATTACAGCTCAGTGACACATGGAGAATGGAATATCAGTGGTCTTGAGTGTCCTGTTAGGTATAAAGGTGGTTATCACCTACCAGTTGCCCTTACTGTGGAAGGGTTCATTCAGAGATATCTAAGAAGAAAATTGGATTAGAGTTGGTCTTAATGACTTGAGAGCGTGACCGCAATGCCCAAGAGATAACTGCTTGGGGCTGGTCACACTCAACATTTTTGTGGGTAATTTCTTAACTGCTGATCTGTTCACTATCTCCTGGACAGAATTGTTAATTTATATTCATCTGAGTTATGTATGTTTGTGTTTATTCACCTGGTACACTTTTCAAAATGTATATTTTAAACGCCAAATACAGACAGCTCCCACACTTAACACTATGGCTTGTGCTACCATAATATATTTCGCATAATTTATTATCTTACTGTACTCGAAATTAAGTAGTATGTTTTTTTTCTTGTGTAACTAAGATTTGTAAAGGCGTAAGTCGATGTACTATGATAAATCAACCCATAGTTGTCAGTTTATTTTCTCTTTTTAAGTAATTTAGATTTATATGGAAGAATTTACGAAGCGATCTGAAACTCCATAACATATTTTTAAAAGGGATTTATAAATACTAGGTCTTCGTTACATATTGATGTCAACCAACTAACCACCTATTGCCGACAGTCAGCGCATTGTTTTATTATTTAGGTTATTTACCAGATATAGATTAACGTACTTGACTTCAAGCCGCACTCTAAATGTGAGGACTAGTGGTACTTCCCTGTTGCCCAAACTAGAGTAGGTGGAATAGAGTTCGAACCTTTGGCGTAGTAATCGAAGGTCGAGCGCCTTGACCACTGAACCATTCCTCTATATTCTATCCGGGAATATTTAGTCTTCACTACAAATACCTAACTATTTATCCATTTCATCGGTACATTCAGCTCAAATCTTCCTACCGATGTCATGAAAAGTGCTGTAAAACATATCGGCTGAGCTTCACTTGTTTATCATTTTAGACTGAAAATTTTTACAAAACTTTCTTGGATTACGAAATCGAATATCTACTATACATGCAATTCTTGCATAGTTGTTACTATATATCACTGACTAGGATACTTTGTTTCTAATCATAGATTTTCCTTTGAAATGAACAAAACTCAGCTACTATATACTACACTTTATCCACAATCATTATTTAGTAGCTAATAATCCTGATATCTGACCTCTGAAATCTTAGTATATATAGTTGTTTCTCACTGATTGATCAGTTATTGTTAATTCCAGTAATATTTGTATGTTAATTTCTTAGATTATTCATAAGAAGTATTTCTATTGATAAAATCTGATAATGTACATATTAAATGTTACCTCATCTTCATCCTAGATACTTTGATTGTCATTATTTTTTTAATGGACTATAAACCTTGGAACTCTAAAACTCCTTTCAATAAAAATTATCAATCTGGCCAGAGTAATATTTAATTGAAAATCTGTAAATCTTTATACTAAGCTTGAAAATATGTTCGTCCAATTAATCAATTACTTGGCTTTAAAACAGTAAAACAATAGAGGAAATCGATTAAATGAATAAATAAGTAACTAAGGATTGTATTTTTCTATAAAAAAAACTATGTGAAAACTATATGAATGACATGGCTCAAAATCGTTTGCAATGGCGCAAGTGCATCCACTCTTTGTGTTCTCCCAAATTCTAATCTTCTGAATTCTTCATGTCCCTTATTTTCTTTCCAAATTTATTTCACTGTATTATACTCCGTGACTAACATCTTCAAGCCCTAATGTTTCCGATTACGGCTTATACTCTTACTACTTCTACCACTACGGGATTTGAATCGACAACTGAATCTCTGTGCTAATGTGGTGTGGCAACTCGAACTGATGTACGTACGTACGAAGTTCTACACTGTTACTAACTGAGTGATATGAAAAATCAAAGTCAAATTAAAGACAACTAATAGTAATAGGTTTAAAATGACTCAGTTATCACCAATCATATTAAGGTATAAAAGTGATATAAATCATTGTCAACAGTTGTACTTTAAACCATCAATCACTTATCAATTTTCTAAATTGATGTTTTTGTTCATTACTGAACCGTACTATCACTGAAGTTAGAAATTCACATGAATTATTTCCTATAGAATGAATTAATTTGAATTTAGATTAGGTTAAATTAAAGTGTACTAAATCATCATCAGTCTCTTAATTTTTATTAAGAAATTTTTGATTTTTATCTTAGTTGACATAATATGCAACTATCATAATGGTAATTTTATTTCTAAATACATTGAATTTTTTTATTCCAAAAATTACATATATATATATATATATATATATATATATATATATATATATAGGTCGAAAAGTTGCTGTCATCAATTTGGATCCAGCCAACGATAGCTTACCTTATCCATGTGCCATTAATATGGCTGATTTAATTTGTCTCGATGAGGTTATGGATTATCTCGGCTTAGGTCCAAATGGTGGACTAATCTATTGTATGGAATATTTATACACAAATCGATCGTGGCTAGCGAATCAATTAGCTTTATTAAAACAGAAAGATCCGAAAATTTATTTAATATTTGATTTGCCGGGTCAGGTAAGTCAATTCTGTGATGTTTGGTTTAAATATGGATCACACAATTAATCTTTTTACCTGTAAACTTTTATGTGTATTAATCAATCACTGATTACCATTCGATGTTGTTCTGTCTCAGTTATGCTTTAATAGAGGCACGCTCAAAAGGTTGATTTAATAATAAAATAAAATGTTGTCACTACTATATTAACTGACTAGATATAATCAATCAAGCTCAAGCATCTAAAGGGTGATTTATTAACGAAATCTAGCTGTATATGTTACCTATATTTGAAAATTTAACGTCTATATGTACAAATATAAACAGTGTGCTATTCTGCGTGTGTGATCGATCTGTTTCCATAATTTTCGATAACCACTTTGATACGTACTGCCACCTCCTTTTATTTCCTTTTATGTATTGTTACTGAATCCTTGAGAAAACCCTCCATTACCGAACTGTGGACATATTGATTTATCGTTTACTGTAGTCTCGTCTACAAAAATTAACTCATATTGAATAACCAACCTTATTGTACACTACATTTGGATATACTTATTAAATACTGATACTGTTAAATGTTCATAATCAGTTATGATAGTTGGTGAATTTAAAGTTGGGCGCAGTTCATTTGATTTGTTGAAGGTGTGCACATACGAATTCGTACTTTTGTCATAGCTTAGAATGTAAACAAATGAAATAATTTTATTGAATCTTATGGCATGAATTGTGTAGATTTGATTAAACCAAGGTGGCAACGTCTTAAATATTCCATCGACATACCAATAAGACAAAATAGAAATTCATTCTTCACCTTTTCTAGTGTCACATAAAAGAAAATTTTCTTCTCTCGCAGTAGTCTTATATTCAGACGTTAGGTTCAATGCATTCAGTGAACATAGATTTAGTAATGTTGCCTAATGGTCATGCATACTCTGACTTATCTGTTTCACCCTAGATCATAGATGAAGTTGAGCTGACTCTATATGAGATAAATCGGCAGATACAATAGTTAGGATTTGATTTATCGTTTCTGTTGATGAAGCTGTTTAAACTTTTATTTTGCTAATTGTTTTGTATCTATCTAATGTATTCTCTAAAACAAAAAAATGTCCCTTTGGCTAATAACTTTATAATAACTACATACTTTGTATGACAGCATGATCTACACTTCACTGTACGATATTTCTCACATCTCCAAATGTTCTTGTCGTTAATTACTCTCTGTTTTCTGAAGGTTTAGCCATTCACAATCGAAACTTGCCATGTTTATTACTTTTTATATATTATATATGGTGTAAAAAAATTATGATCTGGAATAGAGTTCGTTCCCTTTACATATAATTGTATCATTTTAAACTATTATCGGATTTATTTGTAAAACAATTAGATACAAATTTCCAAAAAATGTAATCACTTTCGTTACAATTAACTGATTGTAATTTAGTCTAATATCTTTACATTTTCTATCACTTCCATCTGTCACTCAATACCTAGTTCTAAGTTATTTCAAAATGAACAGCTAGTCACTTTTTATTTGGTCACTTTTATTAATATGCACCCCTTTTTATTGATTTAGCTTATTGATGTTATGTTCCGCACATTTTTCACTTATCATTTTGCATATTCTTTTATTGGAGTCTACTATCTGAATGTCTACATTTACCGAGATGATTGGGTTCGACAATTTTTGTCTTAAGAAATTGTTGTTATATCTTGGTTTGGTCGGTTCTAATGTTCTCTTAATCTACTTCTTATCAGCATTAATCATCAAGATATCTGTAACATATGTCACTGCTTGATAAGCATTAAACCGACATCCAAATTTAGATGTATATCGTGTAATATTATTTGAAAATAAAACCTATTTAGTTTACTCCCATTTCAATATTGAAAATAAGAGAGAAAGAAACAGTTTTACTTACTAAATTAATCATTATTTCCTTCTCTTGATATAATATTAATGTCGAAATCTAGGCCTTTGATTCAGTCAAATGCGTACATACCATATTGCTCTTACTTAAAACAAGACAATCATTCAAGCAAATAATAAATGACTATCTCTAGTCTTTATTATCTCTCAAGGTCACATACATTTATTATTGTTTGTGTGTATATACCTACTATGCATACATATAGACAACTAACCTAATTTTTAGACACCTAGATAATCACGTGAGACACAGGGTCAGACACTTTTTTTTCAACACTTAACCGGTAGGTAGGTAGATAGAGATGTATTATGACTCATTTGCAAATCATCATCCCATCATCATTGTCGTCTTTATTGTTAGTGCAATTTTCTTTATTTTATAAAGTTTTCAAAACTCAAGTTATAACTTAATCAAAAATTTGCTTAACATATCTGGTTATTTATGTAGACGACTAATGTTTGCAAGAATATTTTGATTGGAATATTTAAAAAAATGTAATAAAGAATAGATGTGTATATTGCTTGGAGTATTTAGTATGTCCATTGAAAGTCATTCGGTTAAAGAATGTTTTGATTGAGATCATGAACCGATTGGTGTTAGACCATCATTAAAAACCTGAAGCACTGGACGGCCGTTTCATCCTATTGTGGGACTCCTCGGCAGTGCGCATCCACAATCCCGCTCGCGGGATTCGAACCCAAGACCTTCAGTCTCGCGCGAAACGCTTAACCTACTGGACCACTGAGCTGGCATCCAACGGTGTTAATGCCTAACCTCAACCAATCCACGAAATTGCGCGACCATCTTCCATTGTACTGAGGTAGATACCTGTCTCTACCCAACACAGATTAGCTCCACTGGTCACGGCTACTACGAAATGATCAATTTTTTAAATATTATTAATGTTAAGTTCCAACTATTAGGATTGAATCTATTCTATTGTATACTATGTAGTAACATGGTTAAAACAAAAACTAAAAAGAATGAGAGCTTTATTAAATGAATCATAAATCTCATTAGTTACTTATCTACGCTTGTTTATGGTGGATTCTGTTTATGTAGACAGTAATTTTTCAAAGAATTCAATTTCAATATATTATTACAACCACGGTTTATGTTGATGATCATGTTTAGGAGAACTGTTAATAAATTGATCGTCAAATCATTCGGGTAAAAAAAAACTTACGTCAACATGTACATTGTAAGGCTCTTAGAGTTCATATAAGAAACACTGAATGTTTATGTTTCTACCTTCGTTACAGTTTTAAAAATGTTTAAATAGATAAATTATATCTTCTAATCGTGTATTGAAGAAGAAAATTTTACCTTAAATCTAAATAGTAAGAAAAACTTTTAGATGATTATTCGGTTATTGTGTAAGTATCTCTAATTATCCTTGTAAACATATTGACTTGATTAATAGTTTTTTAAAACGAATAAGTCGGAAAATGAAAATTAACAGTGTCAAGATGCCTTCTTTGTACACTAGAACTAATCTTAAGGTAACAGAATTATTTTTTACCAGTCTAGATACTCAACATACATTTTTCGATACAGTTTGAAACCTGCTTCAACAATTTCACATTGAATAACCTGGTTGAATCTGTTGTTTCCATCTAACCATCATATAGTTTGTGTTATTCCCAATAGATGAATGTATGAACTGGGTCGCCTTGTAACAAACTATTCTAAATAGGAATTCTCATATATTCTTCTGTAAATTATGGAGATATTTGGTCAAGAGTTCAAGTCCGATTCCATGAACATACATAAACCGATAGTTATAACAATATAGGCCATATATGTGTCATACAACCTGGCTATCCAAAATATTATGTGTATAACCTTCAATTAACTATGTTTGATATCAGGTTTGCTAAACTCAATATAATCTACTAATCAATATCTGCCTGTTAAATAGTTTAATGTTTCTGATGAGAAATCTGTTTTCTTAAAATTTCTCTGAGGAAACGTGGTGATCACTTAAAAATTACAATCGATGTAACAGTCTGTCATGAATCAACGATATAATTTAACACTTATATATCCTTACTATAATCGATTTCTTGCAGAAACAAATTGTCTGTATTAATCATTTATTAAGTAATAATTACTGATTTCATTTTCCCTACCTCTTAGTTTCAAAAAAATCTAGTGGATTTTAAAATGCTTATAGGTACCAATGTCTAGGTTGAACCTGATCGTTTCGAATAAATTGAGCATTGAACAGAAAGCTAATAATCATAAAATAATTATGCTAAAAAGAACTGAAAATGTTCACGAATGTAGCTTAAATATTTCTTAATTATTTATTGATGAGTACCTGGTGATTGACTGAATCATGAAGACGTCAACATCTGGGGGAAGCATGGGATACAATGGACAGCTAGGATGCAGCTGGACGATCTAGAATTCGCAGATGATCTGACTCTTCTATCGCACACGCAACAACAAATGCCGGAGAAGACGACCAGTGTAGCAGCAGTCTCAGTAGCAGTATGTCTCAACATAAACAAAGGGAAAAGCAAGATTCTCCAATACAATCCAGCATGCATCCATCGAATCACACTTGATGGAGATTTGGAAGATGTAAAAAGTTTTATATATCGCGGCAGCATAGTTGATGAACACGGTGGATCTGATGCAGATATGAAGGCGCGGATCGGCAAAGCAAGAGCAGCATATCTACGATTGAAGGACATCTGGAACTCAAAACAACTGTCAATCAACACCAAATTCAGGACTTTCAATACAAACGTCAAGACAGTTCTACTGTATAGGGCGGAAACTTGGAGGACTACGAAAGCCATCATCTAGAAGATACAATTGTTTATTAACAGCTGTCCACGCAAAATACTCCGCATCCGTTGGCCGGACACTATCAGCAACAACTTACTGTGTGAGAAAACAAACCAGATCCCAGCGGAGGAAGAAGCGCTGGAAGTGGATAGGACACACATTGAGGAAAGCACTGAATTGCGTCACAAGACAAGCCCTAACTTGGAATACTCAAGCCCAAAGAACACATTAAGCTGAGAAATGGAGACAGACATGGGAAGAATAAACAACAATTGGATAGAACTGGAAAGGAAGGCTCAGAACAGAGTGGGTTGGGATTGCTGATCAGCGGCCTATGCTCCATTAGGGGTAACAGGCGCAAGTAAGTAAGTAACCTGAAAAATAGAAAACTTACGTCGGTTTTGTCAGATTGTAAAATTAATCGACAGAATTCAGTTAACACTAAAGATTAAACAAAATATTATTATCATAGGATTATTGTATGAACGGAGATTTGGTGTGAAATCACAGAGTGCTTTGGCAAAATACGAAAACTATATATTGAATGTATCATTTGCACATCTTCCATTAGGTGTCATTTACATTTTTTCATGATTCTCCCAATATTGTTTTTACTTCAATTTCTCTCTGTTCTCTTCAACTCGATCTTAGTTTTCTCTTGCCAGGTATTTCGCTCCTAATTGGTGTTACATACTACCTATATCTGTCAACATATGTAGCACATCCTACATTAACTATTAAACCTAACTGTTATTATAAGTTTCAAGCTTATTATTTGCATTGTTTTTCCTCTATTCTTCAAGGTGGAATTATACACACATCATCCTTGTATGCGTCAACTTGTCTGTTATCTTACAAATAAACCAACCAATTTAAAAATAAACACTAAAAACCAATTACCACCCCTCTCATCAATACAGTCTTCATCATCCTTACCATTATCTAAAGATGAAGTACCTAATTCTCTTGATTTACATTTAACATCAGTACATTTAATTGATTCACATTATTGTTCAGATGCTGGAAAATTTATCGCATGTGTATTAACTTCTTTATCAGCTATGCTACAATTATCTATACCACATGTAAATATATTAAGTAAAGCGGATTTAATTGAACAATACGGTGAATTAGATTTTAATTTGGATTTTTTCACAGAAGTATTAGATTTACAATATTTAATTGATTGTTTACATAAAACTACAAATAATAATGATCAGTCACTATTCAATAGTAAATATACACGTTTAAATCAAGCTATCATTGATTTAATACAAGATCGTTCAATTGTTCAATTCTTGTTATTGGATATACAAGATCTATCACATATAGAACGTGTTATGCGTTATGTGGATCGTGCTAATGGTTATGTGTTTGGAACAAATGAACAGCACAATCTTCAAAGTTTATTACATTCAGCTTCTGGTGTTGAACTGGCACCTGATTGGATAGGTATGATTCAAGAAAAATATATGTCTAGAAAGAATGATGATGATGATAATCATAATACTAACAGTAATGTACAAAATGACGATGAGCCTCATATTGATTTATTCGCTTAAGTTTACTGGATGAAAGTTATGAAAGGATTATCTTGTAAAATTCTTCTCTCTTTTTTCTTTTCTATCAGTTCTTAATGTACAGCCACCAATGTAAAGTCCTGTAAATACTTATCAGCGTTTTATCTTCTAATTATTTATCTGTAATTTGAATAGCAGTTAATCTTTCTGATGTCAAACTAGTGTTTATTTTAAGCACAATATTGCGCTGATGACATCCAACTTGCAATCCAGAACATTTGGATGTGACTTTTAAGATACACTAACACAGTTATTCCAATATAAAGTAAATCTTTTTTTATATGGTTTATTTACTTTTCCTTCTATATGTGAGTAGGGTTATGTACGTTCGTTGGTTAAAGCGAAGAAGATTTTACGTCGTATGCTGTATCACATTCTATCACAACATGAAATACTAATTGGAGTAACAATTTCCGATAGAGGGAGTCGAAAAATAGATAAGATATAGTTGTCTTTCCTTTCTAACTGGACGATTAGAGGACAACAAATATGCAATCGAGTAGCCATATTTGTCTAGTTTGTTTAGTGGTGATCGAATTTTATAAACCGAATTGCAATGTAATGACACGACACTCGTCGTCACCCATTGATCAATCAATTATAAATATCTCAATCATACAGATGGACAGTGACAATCTGACTAGCTTAGTGATGACGTCTCGGGGCGCAAAACTGAGTAACCCGCGTTCTAATCCCACAGGGAGCATCAGTTCACTTAAGATCACAGGTTTGTTTTGCTGTCAAGTGTCAGAGTTTCCTGCCAACTACTTCCAACTATCTAATAAAATACAAGTATAAACAATAGTTCCGTTATCTCTATAATTCAACCAAAGGTGTCAAAATTTATCAACATATGTTAATCCACACACAGTAAGCCCTAACTGACTACTGTGCAAGATTTTCTCTCTTCAGTTCAAGCATTTAACCTGTAATCTATAGATCTCAGGTTTAAATCTTATTACTGTTACAAAGGTTTAGGCGATCAGCTAGTATCGCTAGCTTCTATAATATTCATCGTTACACGTTAGATGAATAATACTTTTATTTGGTCGTCTATTTTACAGGTACTAGTTACTGATTCTATTCATTGAGTTGTAAATTCCCAACTGAATTACTATTCCACTAGATTCTACACTCCTCTATTCAGACATTTCGTTCGCCAATTTCGGTACATGATAAAAATATTATATATGACCGAAGTCTATGCAATGTAAATGATCATAAATTTTTTTAGCAGGAATTATTTAACATAAACCATATTTTTTTAATTTTCTTTGCATGAATCTTTGATTAGAAGCGGAGAATTATTCTTAGTAGAATTTGAGCTAAATTATTTCTTTCACATCACTATTACACAGTGTAGCTGAAATCAGTCAGTCAATTATGAGCAACACAGAACCTGATACATGTGCCAGTCTGTCCAATTCACCATACCAAATCAGTATCATTAAATTAAATTATCAAGAGAGATGATAGAGTAGTAAAAGTAGTAATATCATCATTGGTAATAGAAAAGTTTATGCATAGACAATATGGTTCGAGATAAAAAGAATGGATTGGCGGAACTTAAAACATAGTTCTCCAAGTTTCCGCTCTATACAGTAGAACTGTCTTAACGTTTGTGATATGATGGAAAGAAAAGTCAATTTTCGATTGATTTACTCATTATGAGTTTTGTTCAAGATGACTTCCGTTTTGATTCAATGTAATGATTACTCAATGCAGTATTTATTTTCTTTTCTCGTATGATATTTTATTCTGTATAATATGCGATATTCTTGTATTCCATTGACGTGAATTATGCTCAGTATGTGATTTGTTATAACTCTAAGCATTTTTCATATATGTTGCTACATTCTGATTATTACTCAAAATGGGTGTACAATCAATATATAAATGAGTGTATTTTCTACTAGAGTTGTTGTCGTCGTCGTGTTTTAGGGTTAATAAATCATCACTTATACCAGTCTTTGTGTTCTTACTTTCGCGTCGTGGGAATTGTAGAGTTCTCTCGTTCCGAGTATAAGTGATAAGCGTTTCCGACATAACAATCAGCGACGACCAGATACAAAAAGTAGCATTAAAAGAGCCAAGACAATAAGCATTCAAACGACAAGTTATAACAGTTTGTATTGAAAGTTCTGAATTTGGTGTTGATTGACAGTTGTTTTGAGTTCCAGATGTCCTTCAATCGTAGATATACTGCTCTTGCTTTGCCGATCCGCGCCTTCATATCTGCATCAGATCCACCGTGTTCATCAACTATGCTGCCGCGATATATAAAACTTTTTACATCTTCCAAATCTCCATCAAGTGTGATTCGATGGATGCATGCTGGATTGTATTGGAGAATCTTGCTTTTCCCTTTGTTTATGTTGAGACATACTGCTACTGAGACTGCTGCTACACTGGTCGTCTTCTCCGGCATTTGTTGTTGCGTGTGCGATAGAAGAGTCAGATCATCTGCGAATTCTAGATCGTCCAGCTGCATCCTAGCTGTCCATTGTATCCCATGCTTCCCCCCAGATGTTGACGTCCTCTTGGTCCAGTCGATCACTAGGAGAAAGAGAAAGGGTGAGAGTAAGCAACCTTGCCTGACACCGATCTTTACCTCAAACGAATTTGTTAACTCTCCTCCATGCACGATTTTGCAGTTTAATCCATCATAGGAATTCCTTATGATATTGACTATCTTCTGAGGTACGCCGTAGTGTCGAAGAAGCTTCCATAGTGTTGTTCTGTCCACGCTATCAAATACTTTTTCGTAGTCAATGAATTTGATATAGATTGATGAATTCCATTCATTTGATTGTTCCACAATGATCCGTGGAGTTGCGATTTGGTCTGCACACGATCTATCCTTACGGAATCCTGCCTGTTGGTCTCAGTGTTGGGCGTCTACTTAGTCGTTCATTCTGTTTAACAATACCCTGTTGAAGACTTTTCCTGGTATTAAGATAAGAGCAAGTGAACTACAAGAACATCGATAACCCGCGTTTTAAAAAGTGGTAAAAGATGTCATGCTAGTTCATTGGTCTTGAGGCAAAGAGGGTTCGTGGATGTACACTGTTGAGAGTTCCATACTAGGGCGAGGCAGATGTCTAGGGCTTTCTGGTTTCTAGTACTGATCTAGCTAAAACTAAGAAAATGTCATATAGTTTAAACCTTGGTATTGATCGAATCCTACCAGTCAACTTGTAATGTAACCGCTTGACCAAGCCCTTGACACTATTTTATTGATATTGGACAACTGTAGGCAAACTGCAAGAAGCACTGGGCACATGTCTCATGATATTTGACACTAGTTAGCTTGAATCACTTTATGGTTAACATTTCTGACTGTGATACTCACTGTAGACAACTGGGATCTCAAAGAGCCTAATTCCCCCCATAGATTCCGGATAAACTTTACTGACGAGTTCCAAGAAAAAAAAATCCTACGTCCAGGGTCCTTTAGCGACTACCTCCTAAATCCCTGATATCTAACGCTTGAGAATACGAACTTAACTACTTGTTCATATAAGCCACAATTATCTATTTCAAACTGCTTCTTTATACAATTAGGTAGTTAGAAAAGTAAGACTAATATCAATAATAAACATCACTTTCATTCATAAAAGTCATCTAATCTTACATTTTGTTGTCCTTTCAATTTGTTCAAGATGTTTTTGTTTATTTGCGTTTTCTTTATCGTCTCTCTCACCAAGCGTACAATTGCATAGTGGGATTTATTTTCCATACACATATGACTCATTATTGTCTGTCCATATTAGATGAATCTACCTGATTTGTTTCATTTCAAAAAGTACAGTTTGTGTGTGTGTGTATCTTCAAATAAAAATACATTGTAGTTTGGTTAGTTAGTTAGATAGTTGGCCTAGAAAGTTCATGTTCCCCCCCCGTGTTAATTCTACTGAAATTAATATACGGGCTATATATTGAAATAAGATTATTTCAATTTATGAGTGAAAAGTAATGCAGAAACTCTACAGTTCACATCAGATAAAGCCTTCGTGAGATTAGGCTAAGGAAAAATCATGTGTTCTGGCCTATGTAAAAAGATAAGACCGTATTTTATTCTAAATGCTTCAAGGGATAGATGGCTAAGTTTGTAGATTATCATATTGCACGTTTTCTGTACATATTTGCTTTACCGGCAAATTGTGTCCTGTATGTTCAAAACAATTAAGCTTCATATTAGGAGATATGAAATTCAGATTGTTTTTTCGAGAACCTACCATCAATCTATTCGTTTATATGATAACCATTTTCGAACTATATCATTGACACGATTGACTGAAATCAATAGCAGAAAATCTAAGATTCAAGAGTAAAGATGTACTTTAATCTCCACTGGAATGTAATGGAAGTAATATCTTTACTATGGATGTGAGTTAGAAAAGTTGAGCCCCGAAAATAATTCTTATCTGATTACCCTATGGGTTTTCATCAATAAGGTTTTAAAAGCATGGAGCTAATACAACTAAAACAGCTCATAAAATGGCTGTGGATCATCGAACTTAAATATTGATTCTTTTGGTTTTCAAATCTCCAAAACCACTACTGCTAGGCTAGTTTTAGTTTCCGTATCCCTCAAAAAGAAATATCATTTCATATAAGGAACCAGGAAAACATGACATCCCACATACTTCTAACAGCCTTAAGATCCTTAGCATTAAGCACTTAAGAGTACACATTCCAATCTGTTTCATTTGGTTCAAACTATCCATGGTAAATAACCTGTCCTCATTCTCTTCACTTAATTAGCTCCATAGATCAAGTGAAATTGAGCAAAATTGTTAGTTTTAAAATGCAAAAAACCCTATAAACCTAATTGATAATATGAATATAGTAAAATCTAAAGATCATTTGAGTCATGAGTGAACACTACTGAAAAGATTTAGATTAGAAAGCAATAGGTATTTATTATTTCTAATCTACACTAAAAGTTTAATTATTATTGTTAGTTCATCAAAAATGAT